CCTCCCCCCGGAGAAGGGTTGTTAGGGTTTTAGAGAGCAGATTTTAATTCATCAAGTATTTTTATATTCGACAAGTATTTTTAGATTTAGAGGAATCTGGTTATTACGTGCACGGGTTAGGAATAGCAGGCTTGTCATTGTTGTGCGGAACCGTGAAGGAGGTGGGTGACGTGTGTTTTTATGCGTTCGTCCCTCTTTTTATGCGTTCGTCCCTAGTATATAGATACAGTTGTGTGCAGTGCGCATCAGCGTATGTCGGTATGACGTCTCGCAATTTTTACACTAGGCTGGCGGAGCATAAGGGCAGAAGCTCTAGAACGGGAACAATACTTGCGCATCCTCCTCATTCAGCTGTGCGCGTCCATGCCGAGCAGTGCAATGTTCTGGTGTCTGATAGTGATTTCAGAGTTCTAGCTTACACGACCGGTGTTACTGACCTACGGATTTTAGAATCCCTATACATTTTTAAACAGAAACCTGGTTTAAATGCAGCCTTCAGCTCCTATCCCCTTGAAATTGTAAATAGATAGGCCTGTCTCCTTATGTGTATTTGTTTTTATTTTGTCAATTTATGTTTTTATCTTCGATGTGAATTTAGTTTTCTAATTGATTCTTATTTTCTTCTAGGTTTTGAACTTTTGAACTGACGATGAAGCTGGACTCCGAAACGTTTTCATTCTTAAGAAATGGTTAATATTCTGGCTGTTTTCTTTGCTTTTAAATTCCTGATAATTTCATACTTTACAGGTATTGAATACCTAAGTTATAATGAATTATTCACGGCAATGCAATTCAAGGCGAGACCTGCGTGCTGCCTACATCCTCCTGCATGCGCGCGTAACATGCAGTGTAATTTGCTAACGACTTGTTATTTCACGACCTGTCATTTTGGTTCGCTCAAATACCAACGTCTGACATGAGACAGCTCTTAATTAGCAACCGAATAGTGCATGTGGCAGATTTGCACCTGATTCACTTCAAAGCCGAGTCAGTGGTGCCCAAGGGGACTCAGAATGGAACCTGAATTTAGACTGGGAAAGATCACAGCTCTAGAAGCCAAAACAAGGATCGCAGCTCTGGAAGGTAAAAAAAGTATCAAGGCTATAGATTCTACCGCAACGCAAGAATGAAAGCTCAAGAAGCCACAACGAAGATCCCTTATCTAGAAGTCACAAGATGGATCACAGTTCAAGGAGGCACAAGTTGGATCACAACTCAAGAAGCCACCACCAAGATCACAGTTCTAGGAGCCATAAATATCACAGCTCTAAGAGCCACAACATGGACCATAACCCTAGGAGTAACAACAAGGAACAATTCTCTTGGCGCCACAAAAGTCACACCTCCAGAAGCCACAGCAAGAGCAAGAATTTTGCCGATCAGCCCGCGAGACAAAATTTTTACTGGAGCGAACCTGTTTTTATAATAATAATAATAATAATAATATAATAGCGGTTTGAGCGTTTAGTAGGCCCCAGGCCTGTCGCCGATTCTTAACATCGCAGAACATTCACAGAATTTTGCGGCCTCGAACTCACAACTCACTGCTCCAATTCTGCTGTGCTTAACCGCCCGGCCTCCTCGCCGATTTTGACCGGTAACTGTCGAACAGAGCTGGGATCGAACCCGAACCTCTCTGCGCCAATCATGGTACACTGAACTGTAACTACTGGGCCACCCATAGACTTGCACCATAACTTGCATAGACTTGCACAAATTTTCCTGCAAAAATCTTCGGAAGCAAATGGAACTCTGTTTGCTTGGTCAGAAGTTGTTCCTGGTAATACTTTAGACGCATTAATTGTGCAATATTATAATGCCCGCAGAATATAAAAAATATTGTCATACCTCAAAAAAACTGAAAGTTTCTAACGTTTATACAGCGATTGTACGGCGTCCGATCTGCGCAAATATCAAATCGTTATGCTCTTCAAAGTATGTCATTACTACTTGTTAATCAGAAATAATTTTTCTCCCCCACTCCGCATCCTCAGCAGGTTTTTTGTTAAAATAAGAGTCAAGCAGCATGAGATCTCGACAATTATGGAATCTGAAAATATTCATGCCTATTCTCGTCGCATTTTGTCTGATTGCACATTTTGTCTGGTACGAGGTAAGTTCATTTTAAATGTGGCTCATATTTGATTAAAATTAACATAAAAATTTTCCGGTGACAACTGAACTGACACCAGGCAAATTTGTCCATCGTTATTATATATTAGACCATTACGGGCCGAAAAAAAAAGAATTAAAATTGTGATGCAATGGTATTTTTATGTGCAATGGGCAATGGTAAGTGTAGTTAATGTGAGTGGTTAACATTAAGCCTAAATATGTCTGACATTATTACATTTTGAATACTCAAATAATAATTTAATACAAATAATGAAATTGACTTGATTTATTCGAACTCGTCATTCCTTGAGCGGAATTCGTACCAATATTTGACCTCGATTGTTTTCTATAACTGATGAGAAAATAATTTTTTAAATGTCGAACTATTTTAAAATAGATAATCATCCTCATGCGCGCCGGAAGAAGTGATAATTTTTTAAAATGAGTTAAACCATTTAAATTTTCTTAATAATATTCCAGATGCACCGAGTGGAACTTCACATTCCCATGCATTCTAAACAAATTGTTGACATCGAAAAGACCACAATAGATGCAAGGCCGGTCCAAAAATCTGCGGGAGGTGTCGATCATGAGGTGAACGAAGCATGGATGGTCACTTGCAGTATCAATAAATTAAAATATTGAGCGATATTCACAGCATCAACTTCATTGCGCCATAATCTTTTTCATGATTTATCTTAAGTCCTACTTATATATAAAGTTTCTTAGACTATTATATAAGATTAGTGTTTTTTTTGGTATACCTGATGAAGTAGAAAGTGAATCCTTCCGTGAAATGTACGCAGTGTACTCGTTTTTACTGAAATATACTTTGGCACGCCAATTAAAATTAATAACCTATCGTTGAAGATAAGGTTTGCCGAGAGACGGAAGCGGCTGCAGCTAGGATGTGACAAGCACCGCAACCAGGCGTCCTTTGGTGGCGTGCAACAGATGCTCAATAGTCGTCTACTTTGGCTCAACCGGGAAAATATCATAGTGTGCATGACACCTAAGGTTTGACATAGTTTACAACTTGGAATTTTCGCTGCCGAATCAAATTCGGCTAAATTAAATGTAGTGTATAAATTTGATTATACAACAAAATTTACTTAGATACATGACTTGACGTTTTCAATAAGATTTTATTATTGGCCCGGTATTAGTGATCAATACACTTTCTGTTTACCAGTCAAACTTCAAACGACAAACTTTAGTTTGTAAAGTAAAATTATCACCTTAGAATTGGCGTATTTTCGTTACAAGAAAAATACATAGTTCTTGAACACAGATTTTTTAATTAAAAATCAAAAATTTCGAGATCATGTCATCGTTAAAAAATTCTTTTAGCGAAGAAATATAAACAGATGTCAATTATGATTTAGCATTTTTGTGCTCTTTGCTTAGGTTGGCTCGACCTCGTGGTGCAATTATCTACTGGGTCATTACCATAACGGTTCGTCAACTTGGGAAGGCATCGGTTCTCCTCAAGCCGTTGCACGTCGTCTGTTGGCTCCTCAGCCTGGCCTTACAGGGCAAGTGAAGCTCAATTTTACGCATTTTAATTTAGACAGGTTGATGAATATATTCATTGATTCATTTGCAAGTTTTCCCATGCATAAACCAGTCTGTAGTTGGTGTAGAAACTTGTAGAATTGTATGTGTAGGATTTTATGGAAATTTTCGTCAATTTTCATGCATACTCAACTAGCTGAGCTGTCTGCATTAATGGCCATTTCGAGATGAAGCTGTCTGACTGCATCTTGAACTGGCTTAATCGGCATATTATAGTATTAGCTGAAAATTTCCGTTTATGCTTGGGGTTGAATTGAGAACTATTTTTAATTCTTTAGTTTAAAAGATTAAAACTTAAAAATGTTCCACTCCACTCACTTCATTGCAGTAAATTTTGAACATAGTTCGAGTCCTCAAAGGTTGAATAATCATGTACCCAGGGAAGAAAAGTTGCAACAACTCACCAGCTTCACAAAGATTCTTACTGTTCGTCACCCTTTTGGGAGGCTGGTGTCTGCCTACCGCAATAAAGCGGAGCCTTGCATCAACAGAACGTGAGTCCCAGGGCTAAGAAATAATGTCAGTGACATTGCGATTGTTAAATTCTTAGGTTTCCCGCAGAATGTGATATGATTATCTATTCTTTCAGTGGTACATCAATTGACCCTTCTTCATTACCGAAACATAATTGTTCCTCCTCCAAGCAATTGATTACATTGTTATTTCAGTGCCCTTTTTCTTGCCATTATACTGCTCAGCTTACTTTACCTTCTTTTTATACCTACGTCTAAAATTATATCATTTCTATTTTTATTTATATTAGCAGCTTTTACAAGAAATAAAGAATGAGAAAAAACGACATTGTGTCCCCACCAACAAACACAAACAATATAGCAATTGGTTAAATTTCTCGGATAGCATATATGGAAATTAGAAAATAAATTTACCAAAGACAACGTCCTGATAAGTTTAAATAATCCCAATTGGCAAAGAAAAATATATTGAATGCTAATAGTCCACACTCACTACCAATACACAAAACAAATGAGCAGTTCTAGATCGAAAGTTATGTCATTCGGTTTGTGTACCCGAATAACACGTAGAACGAAAGCTCTCACATATTTACACAAAAGACACAGATTGAACCTCATCCAACTCGACATATTATTCTCCGCCTTAGTCAGATCATTCTTCGTCAACCCACAGTAATTTTACACATCCAATCCAAAATTATTTATCCGCTTTTAAAAGAAGTACAAAACAAAGCGTCCTTCTTCATCACTGTTATACACGTACACGAGTCTCGTTTTAAATATTTGAAGGCTCTTCACAAAAAATGCAACATTTTATCGTGTAATTTCCCCTTCCTCGCAGTCTTTAAATAAAGAAGCGTAAAAAACCTGGTTGATCATCAAATCATGGGGCCCTCAGCTCATGTCTTCAACCTTCTAACACACTTTCTCCAAACGCCATCGTGAATCAGCACAACCAATTCAAAGACTATCGCGCGGGGTTACCGAGCTCCATCCTTGTACACCTAACCACAAATATCACAACAATCGTACTTCGCCTAGAGGCTGCCAAAATGTGTTCACAGCAATGGCGATAGACAATTACTTGAACTGAAACTGACCAACGAGAAAGGCATCAGATCCCTGAGCCCCAAACGTCTCTATCATGCCGTCATTAGCATCGTCACGAAAATCGTCATTTCTAGTATCAATTAATATGAAAAATCTGTACATATATATGAATTAAAATAAAAAGCACTTCACCGTCCAATTTCATTAACATATTCCTCTCTAGTCAACCCCAATTTCTAACTTAACAACTCAAAAATCACCCGAGGATCATAGCATGCACTTAGCAACTTTTTTTCGTATCTTTTTACCATTTCACTTTCTTCTTCATTTCCTGGGCATCATCTGCAGCCTCTTCTATCCTACCTTCTTTCCTCGTGGCACCGCACCCACCTGTAATAAATTCATATAAGCATACAACGACAACGTTGCCATCCTCCTTCTTTGGCTCAATGCTGAGTCCCAAGGGAGTGTTTGACACTGTACGATTTTGCAAGTGACTAAATCTTCTGTTCGCGAAGTACTTTTACTCATATAAACTCTGTTTTACAATTTAATCTAAAATTTAAAGATTATAATTGAACGTTCCTGAGATCAAACTAGAAGATATCTGCTCGTTATTTTTTTTCTTTGTTCGAATGGCATGCAGAGGAATTATTAAAAATTTATTAACCCTTAAAAAGGTATTAACCTCTTTTTACTAGGGGTTGCTATGCAAGAAGAAACAATCTTCCATTGCCGTCAAAGCCGCTTTTCAAGGATTTTGCGGAGTACCTGATAGATACAGTAAAAGTCCCTGTTCTGGCTGACGCTGCCGCGTACAAGTCGTTCGACATTCACTTGAGTCCGTTTTTTCTCAACTGTGAAGTGTGTGACCTAAACTACGAATATATCGTCAAAATGGAAACCTGGGACGACGATCTCAGGTGTGTCAAGACTAAAGGAATTTTCATCCCAATTTTGAAGTAGATGGTAGCCCGTGAATCATAAGTTAACAGAGTCTTTTTTTTCTGAACATAATCCCAAAAATGATTGGGTTCCTCATTAATGTTTCTCACTCTCACATATTTTCAATGATGTTTTAAAGCTTGTTAACGTTTGCAATGCATTCGACATTACATTTGTCTAGATTAAGAATTATTTAACACTTTTCAGCATATGTTGCTAGGTAGGTCTTGTAAGAATTCTACATTAAATTTGAATGTTTCCAGTTACCTGCTGCCAAAATACCATATCAAATATGTGGACAAGGCCTATGGCGCTATTTTGAACTCGAGTGATGTATCCTTTCAATACTTCAAGGTGAGACGCAACTTTTTCTTGTCGCGATCTTCTCGCAAAATACATTAAAAAAAACTTTTTAAAAATATAACTGCATGTAGGGCCGAAATCACGGAGTTGCCGATTCTTTGGAATCGGCAGTCAGTTTGCCAAATCTGTAGAATCAGCATTTATGCTCAATCGACACTTCTCCGGACCCGCCTGCGAACCCGCCTGCGGACTCAAACGCAAAACCTAACTACACGCTCAACCGAACGACTCATAACTCCTACAATACTGAACGGATTTGCTTGAATTTTGGAATATAAGTAGTTATTATTGATGCGCTGCGGTAGGAATTATTACAGATTCTTAGATAAATTAGTTTCTAATTAAAACTAATAAACGTATTTTTTACTCAACCGAACGACTCGTAACTTCTACAATACTGAACGGATTTGCTTGAATTTTATAATATAAGTAGATATTATCGATACGCTGCGGTAGGAATTATTACAGATTTTTAGGTAAACCAGTTTTCAATTAAAACTAATAAGCGTATTTTTTTATCAACCGAACGACTCATAACTCCAACAATACCGAACGGATTCGTTTGAATTTTGGAATACAAGTAGTTATTATTGATACGCTGCGGCAGGAGTTATTGCAGATTTTTACATAAACTACTCTTTTAATAATACGGAAAACCAAACTTCACGTTCATTTACCCAGCCTGAGTTAAAAAATGCTACCCGTTTTTTTTTCAAGAATTCATAGCTAAAAACGGCAACCCGCAGGCTAAGCTAAGATAGCATAGTTCTTTTTATTTTAAATGCCACAAAATACTGAAACTTTACCTTACTAGGACCCAATCTGCAAGGTGAACATGAAGTTAGGTTTTCCGTATTATTAAAAAACTTATTTATCAAAAATGTATAATAATTCCTACCGCAGCGTATCGATAATAGCTACTTATATTCCAAAATTCAAGCAAATCCGTTCAGTATTGTTGAAGTTATGAGTCGTTCGGTTGATTAATTTTACGTTTATTAGTTTAATTGAAAACTAATTTATCTTAAAATCTGTAATAATTTCTACCGCAGCGTATCGATAATAGCTACTTATATTCCGAAATTCAAGCAAATCCGTTCAGTATTGTAGGAGTTATGAGTCGTTCGGTTGATTACAAAATAAGTTTATTAGTTTTAATTGAAAACTAATTTATCATAAAATTTGTAATAATTCCTAGCGCAGCGCATCAATAATAACTACTCACATTCCAAAATTCAGGCAAATCCGTTTCGTATTGTAGGAGTTATGAGTCGTTCGGTTGAGCGTGTAGTTAGGTTTTGCGTTTGAGTCCGCAGGCGGGTCCGGAGAAGTGTCGATGAGTAGCATTTCTATACTATAGGAACCTGGGGTTAGGTCAGTCAGCCAAGTTTTTTTCAAATATTTTAGTATGAAGAAACTTGAAAAAATCTTTTCTAACTCTAACTGTCGTTTTATGTTCTACCTATAACTCTAACGTCCGATTTTCTGAAACAGCAGCGAAATGCTTATTCTAAAGATTCGATAATCTAGCTGCCGATTCCACAGAATCGGCAATTCTGCGAATTCGGCACGACACATATATGTATATAGTCATGAACGAAAGGTTGTAGAGGTGCGAGTATTGGACTAAGCCGATTAGTCTTTAAAAATATGATACTTGTCAAAGCATAATGAATGTATCGTTGCGCAGTATAAGTACTTAGAAGTGAATGCAACAGAGTAAAAGCAAATCATTAACATATACGTGTGTTAATAAAGGCGTTACAATTAATTCATAATACGTTAGTTCAAAAAATCAGCAAAAATAAACATTTGTTGGTACGCTCTTTGTAAGGAACTTTCAGACATTTTAACAATTATTAACGTAACATTAGTTCTACAACTGACGGTAACTCATATTTTCAGCTCAATTTTTGTTACACTGACTCATGTTCGCAGACGCTGCCGGAGTCGCTCGTCCTGAAGCTGTACGAGATCTACAAGATTGACTTCGAATTGTTCGGCTATTCCCTGGATGGATATTTGAAATAATATGCATTTAATAATATTTGCAGCAAAAAGCATTTGATACCATTTGGAATAATATTCATTTGATAATATTCGTAAAAATTATGTTTCCGATAAAATGTTGATTTGCGTGTTGCGAACCAATCATTATGTGGTAGCTGCATGATATTTAAATAGAAAAGAAGGCATTTGCCAAGCAACTGGCCAATGAGTTACTAACGACAACATGATAGTGATGACTCCATATATAGACAGTATGTTAGCGATGACATCAAGTATATACAACATTATTGTAAAAAGCATTTTTAACATAAAGAATGATATCATACTGATCAAGGGTGTTGACGCTGTTTTTCATAATTTAGTAAGGATTCAATTAAGAAATTCCGTGACTAAGGGCAACCTGTGTTCGGTCAGTTGCATACGGTTACGGGCCGGTCGAAGAGTTACGATGATAGAGAGAGGTAGGATTATATGAATGATAATTTTTACTTATCACGGCATTAACATTTGATAGATAATTGCACCAGACTGCAGAGAGATGTTCCATATAAATGGACTTTCAGGTGAGCGTGACATCATAAGTTTGAAAGCTAATCTGATTATGTAAACCTACTTAGTTCTATTTAATGTGAGTTGACAAGTAAGCAAACTCCTAATTCCAAGTGAGTCCAATAGACATACAAAAGAATAGTCCAATATAAGTTAATAACATCATTAAATATCTGCAGAACTATACATGAATTTCGTGAAATTTCTAACTCACTCTAGCCCGAAGTTAAGACGGAGAAATCATAATTGATTTTCAATATAATTTCCACTTTTCCCATCGTAAAGTATTAGATTATTCTCCTCTCTGCATATTCGCCAAGAGAAGATGTTCGCCGCACGGTTTAATCGCGTCAGGTAAAAAGTTGGAGCAAGGTGGCCCAGTGGGTACAATTCTGGGTACCAAGATTGGAGCAGAGAGGTGCGTGTTCGATCCAGCTCTGTGCGCCAGTTTCTGGCCAGAAACAGCGAAGACGCCGGGCGGTTAGGCCTAGAAAATTTTGAGCAGATTTGAGTGTTCGAGACCGCAACAAGCTGTGGCATCTGCTATGTTAAAAATCGGCGACAGGTTTAAAGATATATTTATGTATTTCTAAGGTCTTTCAGTAATTTGTTTAACCCTTGTATATTATGGACTTATGGTGATGAATGTTCCCCCTGACGGACATGTTATATATCTTTTGCGATGCATAGAAATTTGAAAAATGGTATAGATACGATATTAATGCATCGAAAATAACACAAAAATATAACTCAGTACTCACTGCAGTGAGTGACAGAGAGCGCATTTTCTCGTCGACGAAAACTTGAGGTCACGGACAGACGGACAGACGGACGGACGGACAGACAGACAGGCGGACATGGCGAGCACAATAGTGCATTTTTTCCATAAACGAGAAAATGCGCTAAAAACAACGAGATAAAAATAATTTCGTCAAAATTTCGTATTTCAGACGGTAAATACTTGATTTTTCTTTTTGAAGGGAGCGTCTGGCCACTTTTTTTCTCGGCTGTTTACAGATGGATCACTTTGAAACTCGGTTCACCATTTTAAAAGCGAAAAATAGACTGCTTTTATGGATATCCATTTTTCGAGAAAAAATGAAAGAAAACGTTAAAATTCTCAGAAAACGACCAAAAAAGAGGGCACTGTAGAAATCTATCTCCTCCTAGGATTTTCAAGCTACAACATTGAGACGCATATCATTCGATGCGTAAAGACCATATCTATCGATTATGGTAGCTTTTTTTTCGAAATTCAAATTTTTTTGGAATTCAAATTCAGCATTTCATGCAAAATGTTCGAAATTTTTCGATTTTCCCCTATTTCCCCCTCCCTTTTTGCAAATATTTTCAAAATTATAACGAAATTGAAAAAAGCTACCATAAATCGATAGATATTTTAATTGCGAATCGAATGGTATATGTCTAATCGCTGTAGCTTCAAAACTCTAGGAGGAGATAGGTTTGCCGTGACAATAATTGTTAATGTTCAGGAGAGCACGACAAAGTCCCGCGCGCATCGGAATAACCACTCAATGTAGCAAGGATACGAAACTAAACGTTACTGGAACTTGATTCCAGTCAAGGATGGTGGGAACGACTGCATTCACACCACACCGTACGACGTGCGGGTAACTGAGCTGCAGCTCAAGAAGACACTCTATATATAGTGCTCGGCAGCTAACTTCCCCGTATCTTAAATGTTAAAGAACTCCGCCACCCCCCACCCTTTCGCGATCTGCCGTGAACGCATAAATCAACGTACAGAGATGATTTTGGTACCATTGAGTGTGTCAGAAAAGCAACTTTAAAATGAGTATAAGAACTGGATAATGTCATAATTGGCAGCTTTACGTCAGACGATCCCCTTTATGGTGCTCGGCCGGGTAATTTCCGCCTTAACTTTACTGAAGGCTCCCGGACCCCTCCCCCCTTACGGGATCTGTCGCGAACGCATAATTCAACGTGCAGAGATGGTTCTGATGCCGTTATATAGGTCAGAATGTCAGCCTTAAGATGAGGCTAAAAACAGGGAAAGCCAAATTCCAAATATTTTGGCCAGACGCTCCCCTTAAGACCTGCCCTTCAAGCCTGAAATTATCCTTGTTGCGCGTCTTAACACACTTTACTAATTTTTTTTCAAGTTTCGTTGACCACACGGCTTTGACATGACATCGAAAAACAACAGCTTCATTGCTTCTGCGTTTATTAACTCGTAAGAGCGTCTGATAAGTCCACGAAGTTTATTGGATTTATTAACTTGCGTTTCAATATATGTAAGGGAAATTCACCCATTTTCAAATGTTTGTTACGGTTTAAATTATTTTTAGTTAAATGGCATAATGTTACCGGTTAAATTTGGCTACCGTGTCGTGTGCGCTGACGTGGCGTCACCGGGCTGAAGTCCGCATTAAGACACCCATTCATTGTTTCGTTAAGTTGGTCGGAGCGCACCGTCCTCTCACTGTACACTTGTGACTATGTAGCGTCCCTAGTAGGTGAGTTAGTGTTGCTATTTATTATATATATATATTTTTTTTAATTAATAGCAACACTATTAATTAATAGTGTTGCTATTTATCTGTGTAACTAGAATAGCTCACCACCATTGTTTGGCTGGATCGATTTCTTACCTAGCCAACAAGTACGGCTCCTACAAAGGCCGACATCTGCGGAGATTCTAGGGAAGTGTCCGCCACTTATTCAAGTCTCTACCGTTTCCGACACCTACCATGTGTTCACTCCCATCCTTACTTGAACCTCACAATATGCCTAGAAAATTTCAGCTTCGTGTCGACATAAACTCCCGAATATTTATCAACGCTAGATTTTTCTACCCAAATAAAAATTGAGAGTGGAGCACCTATGTTTTTATGGTGGCTATCGGCGGACCCCATAAGTGGAGCTTATATGATTTATACAGTGAATTAAGGGTGGCGTGCACCACCTATCCCATACCTATAACCTGCCAATGGCTACCACACCCGTAAAGCTCTTCGTACATCAATAACTACCCATTGGCACCGGTGGCGCATCAATGAGCCACCAGTGGCCACCTTTAAAATGAATTCAATAAAAAATTTTCCTTTAGTTTCAAATCCGATGCTTCTGCATTTACTGATATTGCATCATCCAATCACCATTCTAAGTGCTACGTATGCAAATCTACCATGGCAGTACAAGTAACAATGTCAGACATGCAGCAGGAACATATAATCAGAGTACCATACACATACCTCGTGGGAAATCGACTTGAGGAAGTCCCTGCCTGCAGGAGTCGAACTGGTCTCCCACACGCGAAGCAGAGCCTCTACCGTTGCGCCATCGGAGAGGACATGGCAGTCGAGTAATTTTAAAAGATTTAACTGAAGTATTGCAAATATTAATTTCATCAAATGAACAAAGTTAATGCTACCACCGTGATGATTAGATGGCTTCATCACCAATTTTATTTGAACATGCTACTACATTCGAGTAAACACCCGCTGAAAGAAACTTCATTTATCCGTAACGAACGATGGTTCAGCTCTGAGTAAAGGCTACGGGAAAATGCTTAATAAGTATCGAAGTTCATAATGTCAACATTACACCAATTTTGACAGCGGCTTAATTCGATATATTTTCAAGACGCGCGTCAAGCCAACCGCTCCAACCGGTATGAACGTGTGCTTACTCACACGTCGCTCTCTCGCTCTCTGCCCATGATGCCGAGACGCTGCGCTTTACAAGGAAGAGGAGCCGCTGTTGACTACGTCAACGTGCCTTTTGAGTTTAGATAAATGGGGCAACTTGAGAATATTGTAAATATAATGGAACACACTTAATCGACCCATACAATTTATACTTAATAATAGACTAACTGACTAAGTAGTCTCAATTGATCGCAATATTTCCAACACAGCTAGTTGGTGCATACGCAAAATTCTTAATACATTTACGCAACATTTCAGGTGAACATGAAAAATTGGATTCGCCGTCATGTATGGAAAAACTGTATTTATTGCAATCATATTTTTTCATTGTTCCTCGGACAATTATATCAGGAACAGTCTGATACATGCCCAGTGGCTCCACTTTGGCTCAATAGTTTTGTGAACACCTTGCTTCTCTGTCAGCTTTATTGGTGCCTACCTAATTCACGCAAAATTTTCTTAACATAACTAATTCTTAAAAGCCAAGCACACAAAACGAAGTCATGGTTTCGTCTTGATCTCGAATGACCCTCAATCCAATAACACCTTTCTACGTTGGATAAATTACTGTGGCAAATACCTTCGTGCATTGTGTAGGCAAACGGTTTTCAGTGGCTTAAAAGAGATTTGCCTGCAGTGTGCTATCGATTATTCAGACCTTACAAATCAGCGATGATTCATAGATGACTGCCACCTTTACTCGCCACCCTTTCGATTTATTGATGTTTCATTGTCCATTTTTGGCAAATCTGGCCACTCACCGTTACGCCACCTATAAACTACTATCGCCACGTATAATCATCGGTGCACCACCCTTAATTTTTATTTGGGTATCATTGCTCTCTCATTACAACCGTGTCTTCTCATATTGTAATCTTGCTGTTCATTGTTCTCAAGATTGACGGTTTTGAAGTACTTTACACTTGTCAGCATTAAAACGCAGCTGCCGCGTATCAGCCCAGTTAACTAAATTATTAAGATTATCTTGCATTTTCACTTTCTTTGTCGCATTCTTAACGGTATTACAAACTTTTGTACTGTCGGAATGCATGGAGCACACACCTGACAGTACTTCTTGCAGAAAGTTTATAAAAGCATTAACGAACAAAACAGGCCCTATAAGGACGCTTCCTTTGTGGCACGCCACTACGCACTGATGCCCAGTCTGACACGGTTTCGTTAATACTGACAGGCTGTCGTCTACCTACTGGGAAATCTCTTATCCATTGTAGTACATTCCTCTATATTCCAAAAGATTACACTAAACGATTACAAAAGATTTCATCCGACAAAAACCACTGTAGCATCCGACAATTGATTGAGATAGCTGCTAGACTTATTACCTTGTCCGTAAGGTGCTAGGCATTTTAAGACTGAACATATGCTCCTGCATAGCTTCGTCTAGTCTGTTCTTGAAGGCGTTTATACTCGGAGCGTCAACGATGCTATCATAGAGGCTGTTCCACATGTCAGTGACTCGAAGCGAGAACAAATGTTGTCGCAAGGATGTGTTACAACACAGTTTTTTTAGTTTGCAGCCGTTGCCCCTGGTGTTGGTTCTTGTTTCAAATTCTAGTAATCCTTCTGGGACGTGTATAAACCATGAGTGCGTGTATTTGTATACTTCGATGAGGTCACCACGCAGTCGTCGATAACTGAGGCTTGGAAGC